CACTGTACTAATATATACTTTATAGAAAGGACTCTTAGACTGGACTGATCGGAGATGTTTCTTAATACTTTTGTACTATCTCTCTCCTTCTGTTTTGCTTATTTCTCCCACCTCGGTTCATCCTCTCTCTCTCTCTCTCTCTCTCTCTCTCTCTCTCTCTCTCTCTCTCTCTCTCTCTCAATCTATATGTTTTTCTTTTTAATCCCTCCAGTGAAGTGGGAGATCAACCCCAGTGAGCTGACCTTCATGAAGGTGGTGGGCAGCGGTCAGTTTGGTCTGGTGAGGCTCGGAAAGTGGAGGGCTCAGCAAAAAGTGGCCATCAAGGCCATCAGAGAGGAAGCCATGTACGAGGAGGACTTCATCGAGGAGGCCAAAGTCATGATGTAAGGATGGGGGAAGGGAAAAAGTTGTGGAGGATCAGGTTAGGATGGACACAGAACAAAATGGAGAACATAGAAATAAAGTTTTGAGAACTTATTTGTGGTCACAAGGAAGTGAAACTGTGTTTGTTGTGTCTACCAGGAGGTTGTGCCACCCTAAACTGGTACAGCTGTATGGGGTTTGCTTGCAGCAGCGCCCGCTGTTGATTGTGGCAGAGTTCATGGAGAATGGCTGCCTGCTTAATTACCTACGACAAAGGGGCGGGGCTCTGAAGGAGGCGTGGCTTCTATCCATGTGCCAGGATGTTTGTGAGGGTATGGAGTACCTGGAGGCTCATAGTTTCATCCACAGAGACTTGGTGAGTCGAGTTCAGAGTGAGCTCACAGATGTTTTTTTCTTTCATTTGTTTCTTCTTAGTAAGAATTCTTCTTTAGTAAAATTACAAATACCTGGATTACACTTGTTGAGAAATTTGTCCAGGTACGTACTTTTCAGAGTTATTACTTTTCTGTCCTTCAGGCAGCCAGAAACTGTTTGGTTAACGAGCACAGTGTGGTGAAGGTCAGCGACTTTGGAATGACCAGGTATGAATCCCAATTTCTAAAGAAAAGCAGGCATGATTGTTTTGTACCCTGCCCGAGCACGATAGCGTACTCGGATCCGGGCCCTGGTCCCTAGTGTGAAACCAAGGCTCAAACCAAAGAGTTTAAGATAAACATTCTCTATAATACATTTTTAAAGTATTTTTAAAAAAGGGTTAGGGTACCCTAACCCTACACACAAGGATTATGTGGTATGAAGTCTTTGACCACCATATTTGTGAGTTAGATTTGAAGCCAGAGCCTATAAACTGGTTAGCTTAGCATAGAATAAATACCAGGAATGGCGGTGAAGCTGACAATCAATTCCTGTTTTCAGGTACGTTCTGGACAACCAGTACACCAGTTCTAATGGTGCTAAGTTCCCCGTGAAGTGGTCTCCTCCTGAAGTTCTTCATTACAGTAAATACAGCAGCAAGTCTGACGTTTGGTCGTTTGGTGAGAAACAAACTCTCTTTTCACAAACCATTCACACTTAAAAGTACTGAAATAAATAATTTTAAATCACTTTAAAGGAGATCTATTATCCTCAGCTCTCACCATTAATGATGTCAATCTGGGACATCTATAGAGTAGCGTGGGAAGATGTGTAGATCAAAAACCTCTTTATTCATCTGATACCTGGCATCAGTTAAATCCCTCATTTTCAGCCTCTGCCTGAAACGCTTCATTTAAGCTGCTGTCTCTTTAAGGCCCCCCTCCCCACATGCCAACTCTGCTCTGATTGGCCAGCTCTGTTTGCATTCGCATGAAAACTTGAGTTATCTTCCAGGGTCAGCGTAACGAGTAAAGAGTTGCCGGGGTGGGCGTGTCCTACAACTTCCCTCCATGCTTTGCTCTAATAGGTCGGCAGAATCTGACGTCAGGTACATCACAAAGGGCAGTAGCTCCTCCCCCAGGTGGGTGACACTAGGTGTTTGTTCTGCCCTGAGTCTGCCTTCTCACCGTAAACAATAGGACATGGAGCGAGAAAGCACCGAGTACACCCAAGCCCTTCCAGAGAGGGGGCGTGGTCAGACACAGCTCATTTACATATTTAAAGGTACAGACACAGAAACAGCCTGTTCTGAGCAGGGCTGAAATGGGTTTATAGGCATGATCAAATATAGGATCAGAGTGGATTTAGAACAAGAAACTTCACAAACATGTTTTGAGGAGCTCTGAGACTTATTTAAACTGGTTGATGAGGAGGAGAATATGTCACCTTTAAGTTTTTGGGTATGTACTTTCACTTTAAATAGAGGCACATGATTATTTTGCAATAACCAAAGTAAAATCTAGAAGTATTGGTAATGTTTGTTTTATGAATGTTTCTGTTTGCAGGTGTGGTGATGTGGGAGATCTACTCGGAGGGTCGGACTCCGTTTGAAAATCGCACCAACTCTGAGGTGGTTAACGACATCACCATTGGAGTCAGACTGTACCGCCCGTATCGTGCCTCGCAGCCGCTCTACGCCATCATGTACCGCTGCTGGCACGAGGTATGTATGGAAAATCCTCTAGTCATGTTACTAAAATACTAAATTGTTCTAACTTACCAAAGTTAAAGACAAACATTATAAGCTTGGTTTAACATAAAGGTTGATATTCAACAGATTTGTTTTTTGAATGGCGTGTGTTTATTTTATGTTGAATGAAAACAAGACAAATCAGGTTTCTGTGGTCATACCTTTTGTTAACAGTGTCATCTTTCTTCTTTGTCCTTCCCTTCTGCACTCTGTCATGTTTCTTCTTCGTTGGTGGTGGTGCAGAGGCCTCAGGGTCGGCCATTTTTCTCCGAGCTGCTGGAAGAAATCAGAAAACTAGCAGAAAATCCAGACTAACTCAAACATACTATGATACTGTTTTTAATTTAAATAATAAATACAAACAAACTATATTTTGTCATTGTAAATAAATAGTATTTTCATGAAAAAGCTTTTTTTGTACTTTGTGTGATCTTTGGTGGTTTTAATGTTAAATGTCACATAGGATATAAAATCCACTTCACCATGTTCCTCTAACACTAATATGTGTCTCTAGTCTGTCTACAAACCCCTAATCATGAGAAAAGTCCATCCTCTCCGTCTTCTGCCTGCTCCACTTTTCAGAAAATGTGTGCTCAGACAGACCGTTTAGAAATTTTCCCTTCATGACATCACAAAGGGCAGTAGCCCCTCCCCCAGGTGGGTGACACTCCCACAGCTAGGTGTTTGTTCTGCCCTCTGAGTCTGCCTTCTCACCGTAAACAATAGGAGACAGACCGAGTACACCCAAGTCCTTCCAGAGAGGGGGGCGTGGTCAGACACAGCTCATTTACACATTTAAAGGTACAGACACAGAAACAGCCTGTTCTGAGCAGGGCTGAAATAGAGGGGTTTATAGACATGATCAAATACAGGATCAGAGTGGATTTAGAACAAGAAACTTCACACACATGTTTTGAGGAGCTCTGATACTTACACTGAAGAGGAGGAGGAGGATATGTCACCTTTAATTCATCTTAATTTTTACAGCTAAAAAAGTAAAAATGTCATTTTAAATCTGAGGATTTTTTTATTAGATCTTAGCTGGTTTATTACTTCTCAGTTTGTTTTCTTTATTGTGTTTGTGTGAAATCAGATCACATCCTTTGCTGTTATATAATACAGAGATACTAAGTCATAATAATGAAAAAAGGATTAATAACAGAACTGTCATATTAAATGATATAAATATAAGCTAGGTGGAAAACTGTTAGTTCTCTCGAAATGACAGCAGGTGGAGGTAGAGGGCTTCTGTCAGTTGTAGCTTCCATGAAGGAGCTGTGTAGACTCTCACTGAGGTGAAGGTGTGTTGGATGAAAAAAGGCTTTTAAGAGGCTAATATTAGATTTTCTGACTGTAATCATAGCAGTAAAAAAAGGCTGAATTAGGCAACTTGAGATTTATTTTTGTATTATTGTTTTTGGTTATTTCATTTTGTTATCTAGCTTATGATATGTCCATCACAAAGACTGTAAGTAGTCATATTTATTATGTAGCTACAGTCCAAAAAAAAAAAAAAAAATGTCGACGGTCTTCTTAAAATTTCCACACGACCGTTAATTAAAACTATGATGACGTCACGTTCTACTTCCCTGCGAGGAACGTGGCGGGAGGCGTTACTATGGCAACGCGTTAGGACCGACACACTACTGTGCAAGTACGTATGTCACACACACACACACACACACACACACACACACACACACACACACACACACACACACACACACACACACAAATAGGGTTCTCCGGTGACTTTGAACACACATGACATTACTCCAGTGTTTACGTCAATAACGGGAGCTCACCGCGGCGGTTAGATCAATCGAGGAACTCCCGCCACACAGGTGAGTGAGGGTTAATGTTTGAGTTCGTCTTAACTTTAATTTACCGGAAGTCACGTTGTTTACCTCATGTTGTGTTTCTACTGTATCCAGGCCTTTCACCTGGAGTTCTTTATGGATGTTTATAATGTACCTGTGATAGTTTTCAGGTTCTTAGGCATCTTAAAATCAAAATACAAATACCACAGGGTTAAAATACTTTTTTACAAACTGCATAAAGACATTTTATTTGACATGTAAAGTTTGAGAAAATGAGATTTAGGGAGAAAGTCTGCTCTACTTTTCTATTGTTTCATAGTTGTTCCTCTGTTTTTACTTAAAAGTTTTAAACTCTCTACTTTTATAGAGCTGGTTGAGTTCCTGTACATTCCCCACATTTTTAGAGGCTTTAAACTGCTGATTATTTATTCCCACTTATTCATAGATACCTACATTTTCTATAGCCCAGTCTTTATATACGTCAGTTTATGAAATGCTTTTATTAGGGACAGGTGTTAACATGAGACCGGCTTTCAATTATTTTCAAACCAAACTTGAGTACAGCGTTTTAACATCACCTAACTATTTGTCTTTTTGTAATCTTGTGCTTTTTGATTCTTTAAGTAATTCTTTCTGATATGTTTTCATTCATGTTAGAGATACGTTATAACCTTGACTCCCATCAGAGCCTCATGGAGCGTTACGAGTCTCTGGGTCTGGTCGGGGAGGGCAGTTATGGCACCGTGCTGAAGTGTCGTCACAGAGAGTCCGGCCGCCTCGTCGCCATCAAGAAGTTCATGGACTCCGACGATGACAAGACAGTGAAGAAGATCGCTCTGAGGGAAATCAAGCTGCTGAGGGTACCTGTCAATCAATCCATCAGCCAATCAATCGATGAGTAACTGAGCGGCGAGCCGCCTCTTTAAACCTGAAACCCGAGTGACTGATAACAAAAGCAGCCTGTCAATCACAAAACAAACAAAGTCAAAACACTTCAGAGTCATATTCTCACAACTCCTTTAAAGCTTGACATTGAAAAATGGCTTTAAAAGCCTGTGCTTTTATACTGGCAGTGCCCATTTTCAACACAAAAACCAATCTGTGTTTTCAGCCAAGCTAAACCTAAAAGGGTGGGACTTCTGATATCACTCCTTTCACCAACAATAGCAGAGAAAAACTAGTCTGACTTGTCTCTTTGAGGGTCTAGAGAGCTGGGGCAGGATTACTTTTCATTGTTTTTAGTTTTTATTGGTGATATTTCCTGGAATAAAAGAGCATACAGAGAAATTTAAAACAGACCTAAGGGTCACTACAGAGGCAGGCCAAGGTGCTTTAAGCCACCTCACTTTATGTAGTAACAGTAAGCGGCAATGAGAAGTCCTCTGAAACAGGTTGTGGGCGCTGCCAGTGCAAAAAAAGCCATTAGCAGACACAGGTCCTAACTGTGCAAACTATCTTGCAGCAACTGCGTCACGACAACCTGGTGAACCTTCTAGAAGTGTGGAAGCGCCGCCGTCGCTGGTATCTGGTGTTCGAATTTGTTGAGCGAACGCTCCTGGATGACTTGGAGAAAAACCCTAACGGACTCGACCTGAACACCAGCCGGCAGTACCTGTACCAGATCCTGAGGGCTGTAGCTTTCTGTCATCAACAAAATGTGAGGTCACGGACATCTGTGTGTGTTTGTTGGAAGTCTTAACTGGTTTTGGACTTTTAGGTTAGTCTAATTGATTTTATTGCTACATGTTTCTAGTTTTCATTAAAACACACAGGTTGATTTAATTTGCTAACACATTAGCTATTGTCAGGCAACAGCTAATGTTAGCATTCAACCACTTCCTACCCCAAGTTAAATCTCAATGTTTAGAATTCCCCAAAATCAATTGCCGTCCATTTGGAATTACTAAAAGCAACATACAAAAAGCAAACCAAGAAAAAGACTTTATCTTTACATTTGAGGACAAGTTTCTTAAACCTACGTTAGCTAGATTGCTTCTACAATACAGTTATGATGGTAAACTGAGAAGATACTTTGGTTGGCGGGCCAATAAATTGGAACTACACCAACGCAAATTTATAACATTTTCAGAGTTTTTTGGTATTTTTTGTCCTAGATTATACACCGTGACATCAAACCAGAGAACATACTCATCTCTCAGGGAGACCTGATCAAGCTGTGTGACTTTGGCTTTGCCCGGACAATGACTATGCCCACTGACGGGGGCGTCTACACTGACTATGTGGCCACCCGTTGGTACAGAGCCCCTGAATTGCTGGTGGGAGACACCAAGTATGGCAAGTAAGTGGTAGTGTGTACACTGAAGGATGTCACCAAAGGAGCTCTAGGTTATCTGTTGATAATGCGTGTGTTTGATGTGTGATTGTGTGTGTAGACCAGTTGATGTGTGGGCCGTTGGTTGTCTGCTTTTAGAGATGTTAACAGGTCAGCCTCTGTTTCCCGGAGACTCTGACCTTGATCAAATATTCCACATCGTCAGGTGCTTCGGTAAGCAAATAAGTTTGGTAAAAATAAGCAAAATCTCCACTCTTAGCACTCTTAACGTAATAGTACTGTTTGGGTGTTCATTTTTTCTGTATTAGGTAATCTGACAGCTCATCACCAGGAGTTGTTCTACAGGAATCCCGTTTTTTCTGGAGTCCGACTGCCCCAATGTTCTGGCAGAGTCCCACTGGAGCAGCGCTTCCCTTTAATTGCAACCAATGCCCTGGATATTGCACAGGTGAAGTGTTGTTAGATTATTGGTTTATTGGTGATGGTATACATGTTGGAACTTGACATGATTGAAGAAAATCACAAAGACTTAAAACAGTTTTTTGGTGTTGGGTTGTTACTCACATGCCTCCAGCTTCTCAGCAACAACACTGTAATACCATGGTGCTTTCATTCTCAGAATTGTCTCCAGATGGATCCAGAAAGCAGGGCTCACTGTTCAGAACTTCTTGATCACCCTCTGTTCACTCAAGACTCTTTCAACATCAGGTAACTCTGCATGAATATAATACATCGCTACATCATCTAGTCACCCAGTACTGCCCTTGTGTTAGCCAAACTTTGCTTATCGGAGCTTGAAAATATTTAGCCCTCTTAAATACGTTTTGACTTGCTGCATCTCTTTGTGTATCAAAACAGGTTTTTGGATGAGTTGAATGCTAAAATCCAAAAAGACCACAGAGAAAACTCTACACTTCCTATAATAGGAAAAACCCAAAGACGGGAAAAGGATGAAATACATGGCAAGAACCAAAGACGCAAAGACAAAAAACAGTCTGAAGACTCAGAGGAGAAATTCAACATGGAAAAGGAGAAAAGAGACAAAGGGGACAGAGATGACAAGTTACCCAAAACAAAAGCCAAGCAACCTTCAAAGCCGAAACACATTCACAACACCTCAGAACCTTTGATGTCCACCAAAACATCAGGTGCCAAGACTTTTGATAATGCAGCTAAGATCACCAAAGTCGACCATGGCCAAACTGCCATGAGAAGTAAACTTGGAAAGGCCATTGGTGTAGAATTTAGAAAGGAACCTGAGATTTGTAAACCAACTAAAACCCGTACGTCTGATTCATTGGAGGCTTCAAAGACTGCAACAGATCTGAATAAGCAAGTAGATACCAAACCTAAACATGTGAAAGTTTCTTCTTTGGGGCCAAGAGACGGCCATTTGAAACAAGTAGAAACCAAAACAACAAATTCAACTAGCTTGCACTCCGGTTGCTCAGACAACAATGTGTTAAGTGTGGCTGATAAAAGTACAATAGAGTCGCAGACGTCATCCAAATTGGAGTCAAGTCAAGACTTTCGGAAAAGCAAAAACAACTCAAACACAAGAGTACTCAAATTGCCTAAAAGCTTAACTACTGATCTTCCAACTAAGAGTTCTTCTCCAAAATCTTCCTTGAAAGCAACCATTTATCGTACAGACACAGACTTAACCCAGAGAAAGGGTCAAATTTCCATTTCTGAATACCCTGAAGGTCCTGAAACAGCCACAACTTGTGAAATGTCAAACAGTGGCCAAGTACAGACAAACTTCAGTATGAAAGTAGTGGAGGTCACTACCCGAACTATCCCTTCTGTCCCCAAGCCATGCAAGACAACTACTTCTTCAAATCATCTGACGGATTGTTCAAACATGGACACAGAGCAACGACTGACCTCTAAATGTCCAAAAGTCCTACCTTCAGCCACAAAGCCATCTAAGACCTCTTCAAAGTCTGGTCCCAGAATTGCAAAAGAAAACACATCATTGTCCAACAGTCCCTCAGAGAGTTTTACCTCAGATCTTTCAGCACAGTCCTCCACAGTTTTCATAGGAGGAAGTCTTCCTAATGGTACCATATTACCCAAAGCAAACCTCCAAATTGGCCCATCCTTGGATACTAAACCTTCAAATGACACCCCATGTCTACCCAACAAACCTTCCACTGAACTTCAAACAAACAAGGACCTTGGGGAAGTATTGATTGCAACCACAACTCAGCAGTACAGTTGTTACATGTCAAAAGAGGACATCGAGGAAAACAATGGACGCTTTACAAGGAGCCCTGTGACCAAAACTGCTGAAAAACACATTGAGACACTTGATGTTTTAAGTGAGGATTACCAGGAGAATCCTGAATATGACGAGGCCCGTAGCATCAACCAACAAGGCAGTTCTAAGTCAAATATCACCAAAGAATCCAGATCATCCTTTTCCTTAAATGAAATACCAAAAACCAAAACACTGTTGGCTACAATTGTTCCAAAAACATTTAAAGTTTCAGATAAAGAGAACAGTGAGGAATTAGCACTCTCTGCATCGAACAGCCCATCGACCAAGTCTTTTATAGACCAAATCCCAAAGGTTGCTAGAAGCCCACATTTTGAGCAGACAGAACCTAATGTAAAGTCCTTGAGACCCCTCCACTCTGAATCTTTGATCGGGGGATCAAAATCAAAGATTGGGTCTTTTAGCAACCCCACCAAGTCGCCCACAACAATGGCCCCAAAGACTCAAATAAATATGCCTCCAAGGAATAAAAGAGGCATCTCAGAAAGGAACGACCCAATGAATGCATCCACAACCTCAGAATCAACTTCACTCACCTCCACTGCAACTCCAGACCGAGATGCTTCGACAAGGATCTTCCACAACATGTACACCATAGATGTTAACAAATTCAATTTTAATGTTTCCCATTCCTCTCCACCTCCTCCACCACCTCCTCCCTCCTCCACTCCTCAACTCCTCCCTCCATCCTCCACACCCCTCATTCCCTCCATCTCCATTGTCAGTGCCCCCAACACTGCCGCCAGCAATCACTTTACCCTGGGGGCAGGTTTCCATTCTGGGACCAACAACCTTAGGTACTGAACTTCTCACAATGCATTAGACTAGAGCACAGCACTAGAGCTAGAAATTAAGAACTCTTGCAGGATTGGCAAGAACCAAAATGCTAGTAAGCCTTAGGGCTTTAGGCCTATGGACAATATTCAGATCTCAAAGATACTTAATACCATTTGTCTAAACATTTTTATGGTGCCATTTTGGATTAATGCAGCAAAGTAGTTTTTACATCCTTAAAAATTATGATCCAACTTCTCAATTTTGTCAACAAAACCTGAATGGATGAGGTTTATCCAATCAGGGGACATTTGGTCCACACAGGACCAATTTGAAACCCTAAATATAGACTTTGGTAGACTGTGTTTTTGTGTGTTTCTCACAGGTGTACAGACAAACCAAGGCATCAGAGTAGCATTTACAGTCGACTGACCCAACAGTCTTTGTCCAGCCACATCCCAGGATCACTGACTTATCAGGTAGCACAGTTTATGTGTTCAATTTGTTCAGAATACCATCACAGTGAAGAATCTGCTCTACCAAGGTTAACACTTTCTTTCTTCACAGATCCCAGAGAAGGGTCAAATCTACGAGCACAACTTCCTGTCCGACCATTGTAACCCTGGTAACAGCGGTGGTGGTAATACACTGACCAAAAAGAAGCCCGACATCCATTTCCCAGATCTTAGAAGTTCAGTGCCGCCAGAGCACAAAGGAAGAGAGGGTATGCACTCTATAGTAACAGAAACACATTACAATAGTACCAACAGTTTAACAAAGCAAAAATAAGTTAATTATTATGCTGATCAAATATCTCTTCATGCTAAAATCTGTCTTGAAATAGTCTGAAAAAAAGTCAAAGGGGCCTCCTCAGGCCTTTTTGTGCAATTCAGGATTTCAGTGGTTCAGAAACAATGAAAAGTGTTCCTACATTTTTTCTAAATCCATTCAGCTGTACTTCCTCTGATGTGTTCTCAGGTAAACAACCAAACAAAGGCACTTCCAAAGAGCAAAGAAAAGACAAACAGCCCGTTCAGGCTATTCCTCCATCAGACCAACAAAAGCTTGTAAACAACGGTACAGATACACACCCTAACAGAGACAATGTGTAGACATTAAAGGGATAGTTCAGTATTTTTGACAAGGGGTTGTATGAGGCACTCTTCAACAGTGTGACTGGAAAACGTACTTTGTAGACTTTTTCATTTTTAAGTCAGGGTGTATTTGTTGTCTCTTTTCAATCCCGCTGATCAGGGCGATCCAAACAAAGTGGCTTGCTTGCGGAAAAGTAAAGCGCTATATTTATTTCAATATAGCGTACATTTACCCAAACATTGTTATTATGTGGCTATACATGTAGCCGTATAACCTCGCTTCCGTGTCAGCACTGTCTCTCCTTAAAGGGGCCACACTGACCGCCATCACCAGTGGCTAATATTCTTAGTATCGACAAGTACCCCATACAACCCAAATTTAAAATACCGCACTATCCCTTTAAATTCATGAAGATACAAAAGATAAGACGTGCTCCACAAGGATCGAAGGATATCTTCAGTCGTGAATGGAAAGCAGCTTTGATATCATACTGTTGTTATTTAACTCTCCTGACTTTCTGTAACTGATTTATATGAACTTGTATTCTCACTTTAAAAATGACTAAAACTAGACTCAAATGTAAATAATATACATGTGGAATGTAATACTTGCGCTGCATTCTCCTTCATGTTCTTATATTTAGCTGAGGTACCATCTTTGCACAAAAAGGAATCAGCTTAAAGCACTTTTTTCAGTTATTTGAACGGTTTTTGTAACAATATTATACACTTTTCAAAGCAGCTCTGAGGTCTTGAAATATGTGAATGCTTTTTATGAATCATTTTTAAAGGTCACATATTCTGTAAAATCCTCTTCACTATGTTTCTCTAACTCTAATATGTGTTTCTAGTCTGTCTACAAACCCCCCAATGATGAGAAAAGTCCATCCTCTCCGTCTTCTGCCTGCTCCACTTTTCAGAAAATGTGTGCTCAAACAGGCCGTTTGGAGATTTTCCCTTCATGACATCACAAAGGGCAGTAGCCCCTCCCCCAGGTGGGTGACACTCCCACAGCTAGGTGTTTGTTCTGCCCTCTGAGTCTGCCTTCTCACCGTAAACAATAAGACATGGAGCTAGAAAGCCCAGAGTACACCCAAGCCCTTCCAGAGAGGGGGTGTGGTTTGAGGAGCTCTGAGACTTATTTACACTGAAGAAGAAGAGGAGGAGAATATGTGATCTTTAAGCCATAACAGTACAAATTTAAAATGGACATAATAGGACTTAAGAAGATTGAAGGAAATGTAAGATTGGTTGTGTTGGTTTATTTCTGCAAATAATAGATATTTGTATTCTTAAATATATACATTTTTTTGAAATCTTAATGTTTAATATCATGCAAAAGATCCACTGACAATAGAAACGTTTTCTGGTAGTACATTAACTAACGAGTAACCCAACATGCACGTCAATCTGTCATTAAACTGTTAGCATCTGTTTCGGGCTAGTCACTCGAGTCCGAGGAAGAAGATGAACCCATTTTCCATACTTTTCGCTCAGCCCCTCTCGCTCTGTTCCGCAGAGTTGAAGGTAATTCATCACTTTCTGATGAACTCCGACCTCCTATTGGCTGAGCAATTCGACTTTTGAACCCCGGCAGAGAATCCGCCTGATGTCGTCTGCCGTTGGTCAGGAGGTAATGGAGAAGGCGGAGAGAGGGGTTGGAGTGTCTGTCAGTGATTGGTCCTGAAGGCGCTGGCTGTGGTCTGATTGGTGGTCTGTTACTTCTGGTTACTGGTTTTCTTGGTGTTGATCTGACGGCTGGCTTTTTGGTTGTAGTCACAACCTGTTGGAAAATAAAACAAGGGATTAAAAATGGCAAAAATACTAATAAAAACCAGGGCAATTCAGTGCCTGTTTTGACGTCATTTGATAAAGTGATGGAAAATACGATCAGGAGTCCGTATATTGTGTTTTATTTAGAAATTATCCCAACGCTCTGTGCGTTTGCTTGTCTGACTTCCTGTCGGGGTCGATCTATTCTGTCCAGCTTGACGATGCCTGCAGCGTGCTCCATCGATAAATGGACTTGCAGCGTATTTGGAAAGGAGCAGAGCGTAGGGCCCCGCCCACTCACATGAGAGGGGCGGGGGAAGTGTTAAGGCAGGAGGAAGGGGGGAGCTGAGGGATGAAGCAGGTGTGTCCAAAGAGAGCTTTTGTTTTGGTCTGAAAAACCTCATCGTAAACATTTAAGATAGCTTTAAGCCTGTCAGAACGTTAACTCTCAAAGATAGTGAGTTACTCCAAATCACAGTGAGGTCAAATCATTCAGGGTGGAATTACCTTCCTGGTGACGGGTGTGGTTTTGGTCGTGGTTGTAGCAGATGTAGTGGGGGGAGCAGTGGTTTCCGGGAAAATCCCACAGCCGTCCACAGCAGAACCATCAATCTCTGGAAAGTCAAGTTCCCACCGAGAGGAAAGGTCCCGCCCTGAAGCGGGGAAAAATATGTGCTCTATTAGTTACTGCAAGTGATGACAATGAGCTGGTTAGCATACCAAAGAATTAGCATATCAGACACATCAGACTGTGATAAAAGAAGATGAAGATATATTTGTATATATTCAGTTTTACACTCTGTTGCTGAGAGAGAGATGTCAGAGTGAGGGGGGCTGCCCACAGCAAGCTGGTTGGGGTTCTGTGCCTTGCTTAAGAGCACCTCGGCAGTGCTCAGGAAGTGATCTGAAGCCTGAATAAATGTTGTATTTCATTTTTCATTTTTGTTAAATCCTTAATGTATAAATCTCTTCTTATTCTTATTTTTTTTTTACATTTTAAGTGCTTATTTATGTATCTATTCTTATATTGTTTTATTTGCTCTGATAACATGCTGCTGTAACACCACAATTTCCCAGTTTGGGATCAATAAAGTAATTCTATTCTATCTGGCACCTCTCTAACTTCCAAATTTAGTCCGCATAAGGACTTTCAACCATCGACCCTCCAGTTCCCAACCCAAGTCCCTACAGACTGAGTGACTCCCATCACAATACCTAAACTCTGAAACATCATCTACTCAATTCATGGATACAAATCTATTCTTATATTCACAAAGAACACATTGGCTTGTTTGACCACATTGTATGTTAGAAGTTGTGATATTACTAAAATATTGGACGAAACCAATGTTAGAGACATGAAGTCAGGTGAGCAGGTGCTGCAGCCTTCATGTCAGTGTTTGAGGTGTCTGTGCAGCTATCCAATCTGTCAGTCTGTGTTGCATCTTTCATGAGGACAGGTCCAAGGTGTGTTTGGTCTTTTGTTTGCTGCAAAGCTTCCTTGAAAGGCAGCGTGCTGAAAATAGGCTTCGTTCCAGAACAACAACAATAGATCAAATGTTCAGATCTGTCTCTTTTTACTCACCGAGTACAGTACATTTAAAATAATAGATTACACAGATTAAAGTAAGAATAGTGTATCTTTACTTACCATGAGTCAAATCAACGTTCTGACCTCTAACATGGAAGAGGAGAAAGATGACGCACAGAGCTGCAAACCTGCAGAACATGACAACTGAAGGCAATGGAGAAGAAATGGTAAAAGACAAAACAAAGACGAGGAGAAGTGTGAAGAACAGCACATGAAAGATCAATCTGTGTCTGAAGAGGACTGAGCGACTGGAGAAGATGAGATATGAGGATGGTTAAGAAGACATAAAAAAGAGGAGGGAAGAAGGGGAAGACGGACGTCGTCTAGACTTGAGGGTTTTGTCTGAGCAGATCTGAGAGAGTTGTGGTGAAGAGTTGCATCAGAGTTAATCCTTCAACTTTATTTATTCAGGGACGATTTACAGAACGACAACCTGCCCGGAAACACCCTGACGATCAGACACGTGTTCTACACTTCAGGCTGTAGATCCAGCTTCTCTGTTTCCGGTTCTTTCATGGCAGATAATAAGAGAGTTTTATGTTTGGGAAAAAGTCACCTTGTTGAATATTTGGTCAAATGAGGTTCACTAATTTCAAGACACTCAACAAGTAGAATGTAGCTGCTGTGTTGGCTGATATTTTTATTTATTAAAGGCAATGCAGGGCTTGTTTTTTAGTATTTAAAAAAAATGGGCGGCAGAACGCTGCAGGGCTGCCAGGGGAGGGCTGCTCTCCAGTGCTGGGAGAAGAAAGTCTATGTAAGAAGTTACACCGGCCTACACAGAGGCTTGAAGCCGCCTGGTGAAGTTCTTGACTTCATATCGAGGAAATTATCGTGTGATTAGCAGAACAAGAAGTGCAGAACCCAGTTGTCCTCTGGGAGCGATTTTTGATCTGATACCAACATTTGATGTTCAGATATCCAGTATCCAGCTGAAGGTCACCGAGCTCAACTCAAAACATTAGCTAATCTTCCTAAATGCTTTCTCGTCTCGACAACAGTTCTTCTTCTTTGTCTTGCCCTGCTTTGTTTTCCCGTAATTTCAAAGTTTGTGTAATTTAATTCCAAAAGAGATGAATGAATCATTAAATCTCTTAAGCTTTTTTTGATCTACGAGACGATGATGTTCATAAAGTGTGTCACAAAGAGAATTAATCACGTTAATGTTTTGTATACAGTCAGTGTCTCTAGTGTTTGGTCTGGACTTCAGTTGAAACCGGTTTAGTTTAAGAAACATTTATTGGAAAGGGGAATAATCAATGCCTCCGAAAGGGATGGAATTATGTTTCTTAAAGGAAGAATGTGTGACTTTTTGATCCAGTAGATGTCGCCCTTGAGCTGAAGCAAGAAACCAAAACAAACTGCTGTTTGGCCACGCCTCCTCCAGTGACACACCTCCAACCCCTCTCCACTCGCGTTGGCCACAGAGGAGTATGGTGCAAGCGTCTGACAAAATGGTCCTAGTCTTGACCTGCATTGTTGTGTTAGCATGCTAATATTAGCGCTCTTTAGTGTGTTAGTTTAGCCTGCCTTCGGCGAATAAGCCCTGTTGTTTGGTTTAATCAGCTGTTGGATTGTTGGTAGGATTAACAGGTTAAATCGTTTCTGGAAACAGTTACTCATTCACAAGAATTCCCCCCGGCACACACCCAAACACCAGGTGTCAAAGTCATTACCTGTTCCGATGTTACCCAACTGTAACAAGAGATTTCTTAACATAACACACGCACACACATTCATGCAAGGACTGCAGTTGCTATGGTGTCAGTGTCTGCTTGCACACACACCGACTGCACAGTCCGCTTAGCGCTTTAATCCCACGCCTTTGTCTTCCTCATCCTCTCCCACTATCTTGTCATATTAGTAGTTTGGCTGTTTACAGACAGCTAAGTCATTCAGTCCCAGGCTTCGGCCCAGACTGAAATATTTCAGTTATTCTCGGATGGATTGGAATAAAATTTGTTACAGCCATTGTTGGTGCCAAGACGACTTCCTAAAAAGAGAGTGAAGTCAAACTGCCCCTGGGTTTCTTGTTCTCAGCTCTGTGTTCACACTGACAAGGACAGAGCTTTCTTCAGCTTGTTCATGCGCACTCATTGGCTCAAACTTGTTTCACATACATTTTCTTAACTATGTCAAACCCTCCTTCCCCTCTCTCTTACCCCTGCCATCACGTGGGGGAAGAGAGTTGGCCCCGCCCACTCAGGGATGCTGTTTATAGAGGCATATAGCATCCCATTTATTCAGATCTCGGAGAAGGGAATTACGTCACACCCGAGTTGAACACAATTCCAGTTACAAGTCGGTAACATGTCGGACTAGCAACATGGACACCATCAGGAGTACCTTTGTTTTGTTAGCTAATACAAGGCGATAACGACACTACGTGATAGTTTGCATATGAAAGTTACATGACAACAGATGGAACTTGCACGATACCATCAGTGTGATTGATTTAATCACACAAAAAGACGAGTAAGTTGATAATAAACACAAAAGTTACAGTTTAAACATTGCTGTTGATGAACGTAGCAGCCATGTTGGATTTTAACTCGGCTACTGAATGTTCTCCGAGTTTCCATGTCAGAATTTAGACTTCAGGGGGGCCCTGACCACGTGTCAGACCATCAACTCGAATTTCCGACTTCAAAGATCAAATGGAATGCACAACTGAAGGAGAACCAACAAAAGGACTTTCCAAAATAAAGATTTTCTTTGGCTTTATAAGAGAGACAGAACAACCTGATCTAAACTCTGAGATTCATATCGTCACCGATAATGATCACAGAATGTCGCCTTCAGATGTAAAAGATGCTCTGCGTGTCACAGACCTGATGAAATAGGAAGGGAGGGGCTGGGGAAGTGTGGAGGCAGGAGGTGTGTCCATAGAGACTGTTTGTTCTGAAAGTCGGATTATAAGTGGGCTTTAGTTTACACTTATTTGCTGCCTTTAAAACCTTTAACCACAAGGGGGTGCCAGTTGTCCATAAAAAGTGTCAAACATGAGATTTTTATCACTCAAATTGTGCCGTTGCAGACATGAGCAGAAACAAATCACAATAATCGCCGATATCAGAATTCAAATTTGGTACTTTTATTCTTATTAAAAACTTCATAATAACAAGTTTTTCTTTATTTTGGTGAAAAATAATTACTTCTTTGGCTTCAGACTTTAAAGTGCAAACATGACATCACACGTTAATCTTGGAGAACTCAGAGCTTATGTGTTGAAACGTAAATGAACAGGAACAAACAATCAGCAGGAACAATTATATTCACATGTACAAACACTGAACTCCCAGCTGCACAGAAGTGTTGGATGGTATCCAATCAGAGACGAGGATGCTGGTTTCTATGATGATGATGATGGTGGTCACGATGAAGGTCTAAGTGAACTTCCTGATAAAGCGCAGTTTGAGGTAAGCGATGGTGAGGAAGCAGACAGTCATGATGATCAGAGCCATGTGATTCTGCCAGAAGCCCCAGGTGGAGTAATCGACGCCCTGCTGATCCAGAAACTCCTCGCCCGTACACCTGGAAACATGATGTGGACGTTTGAATAACACATTCAGAATTTCAGGAGGACTGCTCCGGATTCATGACTCGACTGATTGTCCATTACTCGTCTTAAACAACGGTTAAAAGATCAGAAAATTATTTAATGTTAAGGTATTTTATACTCTTATACGTGTCTTAAATATCTATTTGTTTGACTTCATAGATTTATTACATTTCCTTCTCATCCAGTCTGAACCAGCCGTCTGCCGGGATCAGGAGGATCCTGATTCGTTAGAGGTTTTTAAACCTCTCATCACCTACCCCTTATGAAATTTTATCCAATCAGAAAGCTTTAATCCTGTTGGTTTACTTTGGACTAATCAAGCTCTGGAGCCTGCTGGGGTGTAATGCATCATGCCGTCCACCAGATGGAGCTATGACCCTAAGAATACCTGAAGAACCTGTTTCTTTAACATCCTTTAAATCACATTACAGACATGTGTGTGTGTGTGTGTGTGTGTGTGTGTGTGTGTGTGTGTGTGTGTGTCTTACGCAAGTCCAGGCCGGATGAGGGTGTGGTTGAGGTTTTTGCAGAACTGCAGCCCCCTGAACTCGTTAATCTGCAGAGCCTGAAGAGACACAAACATTTAAAACATGACTCATCATCATCTTGATTTATAGAAGAGTATGATAATAACCCTGCAGCATCCTCTATCAGTGTGTGTGCGTGTGTGTGTGTACTTACGCCCAGTCCGTAGCGTGGTATACTTAAGTATTTCAACCATGCGAGCCAGCAGACGATGGACGGAAGATTGACGAGCAAACCTGCAAAGATCTGCAGACGAGAAAAAGCTGGATGATAGAGGCCGGCGAGAAAATACAAATGTGTTTTTATTTGTGTGTGTGTGTGTGTGTGTGTGTGTGTGTGTGTGTGTGTGTGTGTGTGTGTGTGTGTGTGTGTGTGTGTGTGTGTGTGTGTGTGTGTGTGTGTGTATGTGTGTGTATTTTACCATCATGAAGACGCAGGCGATGGTCATGAAGATGTTGGCAATGGCCACCACCGTCTGGTCGGCTGAGATGGCCAGAGCCATGGAGGTGGCAGTGTAGGCAACCAGAGTCACGGAGAACATGAAGAGGAAGAAGGCGTCAACTGTCGGCTTCAGACCTGCACAAACAAAGACACACAGAAATACAGACACACACACACAGTAATACACACAAACACACACACAGAAATACACACACAGACACAAACGTTTATAAATGTCTGGAACGTCTTTAAATGTAAATCTATGAATCCAAAGCGCAGAATAAATCACAGCTGCGTCTCCAACCCACCAATCATGAAGTATGCCACGCAGCTGAAGACCATGGCGGGTATGGTCCTCAGCGTGAGGATGTCGGACAGGATCTTAGACAGGAAGTACACCGACACTCTGTAGTAACCGCTGATATACTCGTGACTGGAAGGAAGCATGAAAGAATCTTAACACGTCCCGCAAACTACAAAGAGGCTGAAAATCGTTGATTTAAAAATGATCGAAGCAAAAATATTTCACTTTAAATAAAAAGAACAGTAAACAATATTTAAAGGAGCAGTATGTAACTCTGACCCCTAGTGGTAAAAAACACATGAATTAGACGAATGCTTTGTGCTCCACACCCACATGAAGAGTTTCCGCTCTGCGATGAAGAGTTCAGCGGACGACAGGGAGCTGAAACACTGATTCACGACGATGAAGAAGAGAGCGCCAAACCTGAGAGAAACACACACACAGACACGTTAAAAGCCCAATCTGAGCAGTTTGAAGTTTGTTTAAACTCCTTTTCTCTACTTTAATGTCTGCGCTGTTTCCAGGAATTACAACATGTCTTAGACTTAAGGACAGTGGCTTTAAATAGTTTCATGACACAACAAAAATTCATAAAAATAATCTAAAATAACCTGTTCTGCATTCCACTCTGATTATCCTGGACGTTGAAGAAGATGGCTCCAACGACCAGAGCGAGAAACAACGTCACTGCAATCTGAACAGAACGAGGGAAAGGAAAAGGATCGTCACTGGTAGAGGTAGAGCCTTCAGTTATCAGGCCTGCTCGTGGTACCTACAGTCTCTAAATGTACTATGGGAGGTAGAGCCTTCAGTCATCAGGCCTGCTGGTGGTACCAATGGTCTCTAAATGTACTATGGGAGGTAGAGTCTTCAGTTATCAGGCCTGCTCGTGGTACCAATGGTCTCTAAATGTACTATGGGAGGTAGAGCCTTCAGTCATCAGGCCTGCTGGTGGTACCAATGGTCTCTAAATGTACTATGGGAGGTAGAGCCTTCAGTCATCAGGCCTGCTTGTGGTACCTACAGTCTCTAAATGTACTATGGGAGGTAGAGCCTTCAGTCATCAGGCCTGCTGGTGGTACCAATGGTCTCTAAATGTACTATGGGAGGTAGAGCCTTCAGTCATCAGGCCTGCTTGTGGTACCTACAGTCTCTAAATGTACTATGGGAGGTAGAGCCTTCAGTCATCAGGCTTGCTCGTGGTACCTACGGTCTCTAAATGTACTATGGGAGGTAGAGCCTTCAGTCATCAGGCCTGCTCATGGTACCTACAGTCTCTAAATGTACTATGGGAGGTAGAGCCTTCGGTTATCAGGCCTGCTCGTGGTACCTACAGTCTCTAAATGTACTATGGGAGGTAGAGCCTTCAGTTATCAGGCCTGCTCGTGGTACCTACAGTCTCTAAATGTACTATGGGAGGTAGAGCCGTAGTTGTCCTTACCTGAGCGACCGATGTCTGAGGGTTGAGCATGAGGTTCTTGAACGTTCTCTTGAGCACCCATCTGAACTGCGTCATGAAGCTGGTGTTGTAGGTGATGGTTCTGGAGGGAGTCTTGGTCGTCACCTGTCGGCCCTGAACAATCCTTTCTGAGAGAAACAGGAAGTGAACATGGTTTTAATCTACCATGAGAACAAAACAGCGCTTCTCCATGAAGAGCTCACTTTCAGGTTACAACACTTCATCAATACTCTCTGCAGCTGTTTCAACTAAGAATAGATCAGAGAGAGAGAGAGTGGGGAATGACTTGCGGGAAAGGAGCTTTTGTTTCTCCTTCTATGACTGACGTAGGTAGACTTTTAGAGGTAGAATCTGATCAGATAAAAGTCGATCTTCAGGGCCTTTCAGAAAGGATGCGAGCAAAGAGCAGTTGAACGTATTAATGGGTTTGAGAGAGCTCACCACATCCTGTCTGAAAGGTCGTTAAGACTGATCGAGTTCCGAGGAAAGGGTCAGAACTCAGGCGGTGCACTTAAAGATTCATGAAGTGATGCTTTGAGTGTTTTTGTACCGACCCATCTCTGCTTTGGTCTGCTGGAAGTAACGACTGTTTCTGTACTCTTCCACCAGTTTGTCCTCGATCCCTCGTCTGGACGTCACCACAGAGTCCGACTCTGGATCTGAAGGGAAGGAGGGGGGGGGGGGGGGTCAGACGTCCAAACATACAAACATCATTTCAGAGATAAGAGACACATTAACACAGACACCTTCGTTCTCCTTCCCGCTGAGAGCGACAGCGGTCGAGTCTCCGTTAATGATGTCCAGGAAGAAGTCAGCAGGGTTATTGTGGGGCTCACAGGTGTATCCTGGGAAATGGAGTTCAAATCTGAGTCACACGCAAAAAAACACCATATCTGCATCAAGTTGTGTTTTATTGGAGTAAAGTCGATTTGTGTTCCTACCGATGTCTGAGAAATAATCCAGAGCGCTGTGAGCCGGGGCGTGGTAAACCTGAATGTTTGATGGAAACACGAGAGGAAGTTCTTTTAGCAGCTGACGGACAAATCAAAACGAATGTGACAATCGAGGGAGGATTTATTAAAGTTGAGGAGAGAAAGAAAGTAAGAAAAACACAAAAGACTGAAGAGGAAATGAAAAAGATCCCAGAGACAGCGAGGGGAAAGAAGAGCGAAGAAACTGGAGCAATAAAGTTTAAAAGAAAACAAAGAACTACAGTGAGATGAAACAAAAACCTCCATGCGGGTGGACCGGGTTCAAGTCCGACTTGTCGCTCCTTTTCATGCATGTCATTCCCCTTATCTCTCTCTTGCTCTGATTTCCAACTCTATCCTGTCTCTAAATAAAAGCCCAAAAATAAATCTTAAAAATAAAAAGACAGGAAGGACACAACGTCTTATTAAAATAAGAGTTAACAAAAGTGAAAATTCAGTTGCAGTAGCCTCGTTCAACCTGTAGAGGGCAGTCACTTTACATATTTGGGGCGGCAGTAGCTCAGTCTGTTGGGACTTGTGTTGGGAATCGGAGGGTCGTTCAGTTACTCCTAAACAAAAAATATTTTTACAAAGAACAGACGTGAAGATAAAAAGAAGGTGAGGACGGAGACACGGCGTGAAAAACGACTTAAGGACGAAGAGGGAGAAAAATAAACGCGGGCAGAGTATCAAAAAAAGAAGAGAAGAAGATAAATGAGGAAGTAGAGTGAGCGACCTGTTTGCCGTTGACGAGCAGCGTGAGGCTGTCGAACAGACGGTAGATGGAGTATCGGGGCTGATGGATGGACAGGATGATGGTGCGCCCGTTGTTCGCCATCCTGAAACAAAAAAAACCACAGGAAGTAAAACCCATGAAAGTGTCCTGATATGAACAAAGTAAACACGCCACGTGTGTGTGTGTGTGTGTGTGTGTGTGTGTGTGTGTGTGTGTGTACCTCTTTAGCAGCAGCAGGACAGAGTTAGCCGTGCTAGCATCGAGCCCCGTGGTTGGTTCGTCCAGGAAGAGGACGGACGGGTCGATGATGAGCTCCATGCCGATGTTCGTCCTCTTCCTCTCGCCGCCAGAGATCCCTCGAATCAGCTGAGTGCCCACCTGCACACACACACACACACACACACACACACACACACACACACACACATTAAACACACACACACACACATTAAACACACACACACACACGTCACTGAGCTCAGCTAATCAGCTAATCGTCCTCCCTGGCTCCTCCTCCTCACCTTGGAGTCGGCCACCCGGTTCAGTCCCAGCTCCTGGATCAGCCGGTTCACTTTCTTCTCCTTCTCCTGCTGGGAGACGGACTCTGGGAGTCGCAGCGCCGCCGAGAAGCTGAAGTTCTCTCTGACCGTCAGAGTCCCCATCACCACGTCGTCCTGGCAACAGAAGAACAGCGTCAAACATCGTACTGGTATCTTTATCTTTAAGACTTCAGT